CGCTTGAAGACAGGAATGATGTACCTATTTCTTCTATATTAATCTAAGCTTAACAATGAGCGTAACAATTGATCGGAGAAAGAATATAACTAATACACGACTGTTGATTTGGTTTCTAATTTTAATTAAATTAAAATTGCATTATCTCATATTTTTATATTATATGGCTTGCTGAAATCAAATATTTATATTCTTTAGTAAGTCGGTATTTATAATTATTGTTTATGATCCTAACAGCGACATACTCAGAAAATTTTGTGTAATATATAATAATACCCAAGAGTAGTAGACGCCACTGTTAACGTAGCCCTCGCCGACGTCCCTGCCGGAAACTCGGGTTAACACGAACACCCGCTCATAAAGACTACTTCCGGCCGAGATAATGGACTCAGAGAGTGACGGCTGTCTGTCAAGTTGTTACCGTTTATTTGTTTGCTTGCGTGGCTTTACCGCCGCGATTTTTTCCTCTTACTAATTGGTTTGGTTTTATTTTAGTGTCGTTGAATTTGGTCGATCGCACGCAAAGGTTAAACGAGTCGTTTTCACGGCATTAACCGATGCTTAATAAAAGTTATAGTTTACGTGCAATGAAAAAATAGCCTCCTTCAACTGATATTACTTATATTATTATTTTGAACCAGTAGTGTTATTTCGACGAGTTTTTCAGAAGAACCCATACAGCCACGGTACGTAATATTGGGACGAACGTAGAGGTCCCTGGTACGTACAAGTACGTACAGGTACGTACTATGTACGAACTAGGGACGTACATTTTCCAGCGCTACGTACGTCCCTGGGATGTGGTAAAGTACGTACTATGTACGTCGCATGTACGTACATTCCAGGTACGTACATTTTATGTTTTGTTCCGGACCAAAACTGGATGTAATATGACCGAAAGTACGTACTATGGACGTACATTTTTCAACGATGTATACGACCTAGGAATTTAATTAGAAATAATTCAATGGAAGTCAGCTTAAAATATTTATTAATATAAAAACTCAGGTACAGGGTCATCCCTTATGTCTTGATACACCCGTGAGTCTGGCTTCGGTCCGGCAACTACACCCTTAGCGCACTTTGTCTTTTATTGGATGTTGATAGATATTTTATTTTTTTATTCTCGAACTGCTTCTAACTAAAAAAAACACAAAAAGTTTACAAAAAGAAAACTAAGTATTCAAATATCTAATTCTTGCCTCTGTGTTGAAAAAATTGAAGGAGCCGATTCTCAATCATTCGAGGTTGTGACTGTGCTAGGTGAAATAGTCACATTATATTATTACACTTTAACTTACCTTGAAACAACGAGCAACGAAGGCAACGACAAAAAAATACAAGGCTTAAGCCAAACAACTGAAACAACCTACGGCCACCATGACACATGACACCATGCATGACACCCACTCACACAACACAATCGAAAACTGGATCGGAGTAGGTGCTCACTCAGTGTATTGTTGTTTTTATTTTTTACGTTAATGAATAAAAGATGGAACTACACTGAGTGCGCACGTGCGCTCTAGCTCTGCCAATCGAAAACGCCATTAGAAACCACCCGACTTCCGATTCCGACAAGACTCGAATGTGAACGAATAACTTAGCGGGAAATTTAAACATAGGACTGCATAATTTTCCTGTTAGGCTTGATTGCATAATATATTGCATTTTTAACCCATCAGATTTCTTCAAAGGCTGTCATGCATTATGGTGATTGGATAATTTAGGAAATCATTTTTTATAGCGGTCGGGTTAGATTTATTAATAAAAGAAGTAGAGTTAGGTTAGAGTGATTTGAATTAACGTTAGCCTAGAAAAGATCCACTGATCCAGTCCATTCATTATTATTGGGTATATCTGACCAAAATAATCCAGTCATAATATTAAAATTAAATAACATTTTGTAATGCGTTTTCAAAAATTTTCAAGATACGTACGTAGTACGTACTCGCAAGTACGTCCGTAGTGAAGTCCTACAATAACGTAAATAGTACGTCCCTTATTGGTCCCGGGACGTATCGACGTAAAATGGACATAAAATGTACGTCCCTGGGACGAAGTGTGCTGTATGGGAAGTAATTTTCAGTAAATAATCTTGAATAAAGTGTGAATTTTTTAACGAAACCCTGCTTCAAATATCAATCGTGGCTTATCCGTTGCAAAACCAGGCAAACCAGATCTGTAAACTACGGTAAAGAGCGGTTCCTGAAAAACATCGGTTAAATACGGAACGGTTTGGTAAAATATTGGATATATCAAATGTTGACGTTTTCTAAATTTCAATCACTTCATTATAGAACTGATTTTTGACGAATTCTTAATGTATGATGTTTTTAATCCTAGTCTCTGCTTTTGCACTTGATTCTTTTTTTTTCAATGTAATTTACTATTGAAAAGTACTTTAGTAATGAAGCCTCGTGGCCACATGGGTTGGCCACAAGGTTGGCGACGAGGACCGATTTAAAATATATTTTTTTAGTTTATAAAACTCATGATTACTTGGTTTGGTTTGGCAACAACAAACAAAGGCCCCATGATAAGTTCCAAAAAAAAAATTCCAAAAAAATAATCCCAAAAAGTCACTCTATTTAGTTAAAGAAATGTCTTTACCTTTACTACCTACCTCCATTGCTTCTCTATATAAATACGAAATAATAACACGAATTTTATAAATTAAATGAGAATATCATTGAAACTTAAAATTTTGTTTTTTTTTTCAGCCACACACATTTTCCGGGTTTGTATGCCAATCAATGATCATTTATCATTGATTGGCATACAAACCCGGAAAATTACGATAGATATTTTTCAGGAACCGGTGTTCTGTAATAATAAAAATTTTTGGAAACCAATAGAAACGGAACATAAAACCATCACCAAATTAAGAAACGGAATACAGCCTGGGTTTGAAATTGCAAGCTGACAAGTTTTAAAATACCCTCTTATTAAGTGGCACTATGACCATCATATTTGCTTTTGGCAACATAAACTATTTGGTTACGTATTATAAGTCATTTATCTACAGTTAGGTATATAAAACTTCCTCTGATATTTTAATTCAAAAATTAATAATACTGAAATTTTCACTAAAAATAAGATGGGAAAATGTGGAAAAAATAATAAAGAGTATAATAATAAGTATTTAAACCTCATGTATTTGTATTTTTTTTTTTAATGAACAGTCGAACAATGAACAAATGTTATCTATCCAAAAAAGTTCTATGGGTATTTCGCCACTGCGGAAGAAAATAAAATAGTTATTTTTCACTAAAGTGTTCTGGAATAGTTGCATTTGGATATTTTAAATAGTTTTTTCTTTCTTTGTTATTTGTATTTTTTTCCTTCTGACGGCGGAAAGAGATATACTTTCCGAAACGTTAAGCATGTTTTGTTTTTGTTTCTCCGTTGGATTAAAGCAGCAGTGTTTACAAACAATAACTATTTTATTTTGTAGATTTTCGTCCAGTGGCGAAATACCCAGCGAAGTTTTTTGGATAAAAATGTTAATATAAATAAAGTCTCTAATTTAATAAATGAAAATCAGAAATATTAATGACAGATTAAGTAATATTTTAGAGAAATTTTCTTTAAAATTGAATTCACTGGAAACCGGCAATGTGGAAGCACTATTTCACAGTGCATATCTTATTGTTTTATGTTTGCGGTTTACTCATTGTGAATGGACTTAGGATTAACGAATAAAAATATGTTGTTGACTTAGGTTGTTGACCCTGTTGACTAATATGACACTGTTGCGGACCCGTGTGGACTCGACCTAACCTAACTATATGTCCCGCCCTCAGAAGACCTTCACATCGCATTAAAGAATAGACACCGTAATGATTCATTCGAAGTTTCGAGAAGAATCGAGTTCCACTGGAATGGAGTAGTACATACGAGAACATTCGAAACCTTCTCTATGCACCTAACGATCTATGGACTATTCGAGAAATCTTTAGCTGTGGGTATAAAAGCCGGCGGCTGGGGCCTGAAGAAGACAGATATAAATAAGACGAGTACAGTCGACGTGCTAAATTCAAAATAAATTCTTTCTAGATAAATAGTTGTAAATCGTTTGTAAATAGTTCTTTAAGTCTTTTATCGTTATTGTTTTTGTTAATTAGTGTTAAATAAATTGTGTTTAAATAAATTGTGACTTTCTATCCACACGGAACCGACGTAAAACGTAACAATACTAACATTTTTAGCTAAATGAGTGTCCGGACTTTAAAATATAGTGCTTTGTTGTATTGTGGTAAATTAGAATAAATTTTAGTGTGTCTTTATTTCAATTTAAAGTTTTTTAAGATATCATTTTGGTGTTTAAAAAATATATCAATATACTATACAGGTTGTTAATTTGTTTATTACTCGCGGCAAGAGCTTTATGGTTGAAATATGGCAACCTCGGCCCGCTCGTCGATAGACGACGTCACATGACGAGTCGACAGAAAACCCTATAAGTGCATGCATTCTCAATAGGCAGTGTTGCCATTCTGTTCCCCTATAAGTAACTGTCCAGTTAACAATCTGTATACTAATCGACGCATATGAACACACAAATTTAATCTCAATCGTTTTAGTAAACAAAAACCTACAAGTAAAAAAAATCTGAGAGTCCTCAATTTAACAACGCGAGAATATATGCGGCCAGTGGCGGATACAGAGGGGGGGGCCATGGGGCCCGGCCGCCCCCTAAAATCTATAAATTGGGTTAACTATTAGGCTTTTGGGTTAAAAATGGCGCCTTAAAAGGCATATTTGGCACTATTTTTTATTTGGGCCTAAAATAAATTTCTATATCCGCCCCTGTATGTGGCAGCTGTTGACCTTACATTTTAGTTCAAAAGGTAATTGTATTTTTTGTCATTTTATGGATGCTATCTGTAAAATTCTTCTCTTGTACCGCTGAACACATATAGATTTAAAAAAGAAAGTTAATACATTTAAAAGGTTCAATTTCTTAAACAATGCTTGTATTAAAAAACACCAACAAGTAATACTAAAAAAGCATAGCATTTATTAAGCAAGTTAACGTCTTTGACATCTAGTTCCAGTTATTGCGATATGAATATCATTAGACCACACTCTGAAATTAACTCTGTCATAATCCAGCCTTCCGTAAAGAAATTCGGGCATGGTGTTTGTTAGAATATAAACTTTGTCACCATATACTTTTACATCGGACGGATAAATCATTCTTTCGTCATCCTTTTGAACTATTGAAATAGTATTTAAGTTACTGTTTGTGTTCCAACATCCGACTGCGTTCTGATTGACTAATCCCAAAAACATAACGCCAGTTGATTTGTTTAAATCTGCCATTGCTGTTTGAGATTGTGGGCCGCGATCCCCAACCACCTAAAATAACAATATTATTATTTAGTTGTTTATGGCTAATATACAGGGTGTCAAAGTGGTAAACTTAAAACTAAAGTGGTGTAACTTTGGTGGGTGTTTCTTAGAGATGAGCAAAACTGCGATTCTCCAATCACAATTGAAACTGCGATTGCGATTTTTAAATCGCTGCGACCGTAACTTGCGATTATGATTTTAATATTTAAATATTGCACTAGGTGCAATGTATAAACGTCAACGGTTTCTTATAGACGTATCTGTTAAAAAAGTGAAGTTTTCTCGAATAGTTGAATTTAAATATTTTAAATAGTTTTTTCTTTATTCTTTGTATTTTTTTTGCTTCCAACGGCGGAAAGAGATAAACTTTCCGAAACGTTAAGCATTTTTTTCTTTGTTAGGCAAATTTGTATAACTGTAAACATAACTTCTGACAAGCAGTGTCCGTTTAGGTTTAACGCAGAAGTGTTTACAAAAAATAATTATTTTATTTAGTAGATTTTCTTGCAGTGCAGTGGCGAAATACCCACAAAGGATTTTCTTTGAAGAAATATATTATGTATCGCAATGTAATATATTATGTATTGCATGTATTCGCAAAATTCATTCGCAACAAAATGGCAACAAAAAAGTGGGGGGTTTTACCAGAACGAGCATCCCCAGAAATTCCATCTTTCGACACAGGAAATTTCTTTTTTCAGCGCTCAGCGCCAAAAGCGGTTATTATCATATAACTTATAACGGTGTGCTGCGTTCAAAAAGGTAGACTGTAATAATAACAGGAAATCAAGTGAAGAGAAATGAAGGATACGGATACGAACTAGATACGTTTCCTAAGAGGCAAATACTGTACCTGACACACCACAAAGATGTTCTTGTGAATAGCCTCATGTTAGAAATAATAGACAACGGAAATCTCTATGAAAAACACTGGATAAGAAGGAGGTGGTTTAAAATAAAATGAGCATTTTTCATTCTAAAAATAAACAGACAGGGAAAATAAACTCCTTGAGGACAAGAACGATGATACTCCATTGCTTCTTCGCGTCTGCGTCTGTTGATTTAAAGATTATTTCCCCTAACATAAAAAGACTCAGGGCAAAAACACGTACAAAATTCATCACAGAACTTCAATACGCTGATGGCTGTGCTCTAGTTGCAAATACGTTACAGCAATTGCAAGAAATGTTGAACACATATACATGGGCATAGGGGGCTTTGGGACTTAAGCTGAACATCGATAAAACTAAAACTCCTCCGGAGGATCACAACAATGCTATAAAGATCGGAGAAGAACTATTGGAATATGTAACGGAATTCAATTACCTCGGCAGTTTGATTTCGGAAAGAGCCAATATCGACTCTGAAATTCAGCACAGGATTAGCAGCGCTTCAAGAGCATTCTGGAAATTATAAGACAGGGTTTTCTACAATCATGACTTGAGCACAAAAACAAAACTTGCAATGTACTGAGCAATCATAATTCCCACCATGTTATATGGAAGCGAAACCTGGGTGCCGTACCGCCGACACATGAACGCATTAAACAAGTTGCAATAGAAACATTTTAGACGACTCTTAAGAATCAAATGGTTCCATCATGTCTAAAACGTATCGGTCTTTGAAAAAGCTAACTGCGAGAGATAACATCACGTGTCGGGCTTTTCAGTCACAGAAAAGCTCATGAAAGAAAACGCCTTGCGTGACCATCTTCTGATGCGAGTCAAATACTCGTCAGCGAGTTATGGCAGTATGTATGTATGTGTGTATGTATGTTTCCCCATCAAACAAGTAATGAAGCGCTAGCTGTCTTTCCATATTTACTCCTCGCACTGACTCCACTTCAGCCTATTTTAAATCCTTAGAAAGTTTGTGAAAAGCAAACTGTAAGGAAAATACTAGTCTTTTCCTTATTCTCTCATATATTTTCCTTTCTTTGCTCTTCAAATGTCTTATAGCATGTTTTTCTAAATTCGATGGTCTTCTAATTGTAAAAAATTGTTTTCCTGAATTGATTTTTTCAGATATAAGGCATTTAAGGTTATTTCAGTTTACTATTGGACCGTATGTCATCGACATTACCATTTTACCTATACGACCGTATTCTCAGATCATTTTAATATATTTAATATTTAAATTAAATTTCAATTAACTGCAGTAGGTATACTTCTACAAACCGCTGGATTAAATTCAGTAATAGAAATATTAAGATTTTGAACAAATATAATTAGCTTTTGAGAGACAATGTGTAAATATTGCCCGGGCGTTTCAAATATCTGGCTTTAAATATTCGTTCATTGCTATAAAACATTTTTAGTACCTAATTATTAATCTAGTACCTACTTATTAACTTATCTAATCTTAACATTAACATTTTTAGTAATTAGTAATACTGAAGAAACAGTAAAAAAAAGTTAAAAGAAGCATAAATTATAAAAATATTCAAATTCGGCTCTCACCATTGTATTTCGGAAACGGTAAGAGATACTGAGTGATTTAAATTGGGAAAAGTTACCTTTTAGTGAGTGATAATCCGTTGATATAATAATCCGTTTAGTATTTGAACTTATCATTGTGGAAATATGGCGGAAAATCTAAAATTTCTGGTTTGCGTTTTTATTATTTTACGAGTTTATTCTGTTTTGTTGATTTTTTGAAAGAAATAATTTACAAATAAATTTACAAAGAATTGTTTAGCTTTATTCTTTGGCGATGTCAAACATCACTTGAGACGTTTCATTTTTCTGAGACCATAATCAATTTTGTTTGTTTAAATAGGGGCCTGGATTAAAAATAAAAACGAAAATTGCGGAAATAATAGGGATGAGATAATGCCCATAAAGAGCATTATCAGCATGACACTTACCAGACCAAGGAATCCTACTGACGCCATTCTGACGATGCAGTAGTCCCCGAAACCGGTAGAAGGATTAGCATTTTTTTTGAATTGACAAGCTCGAATAAAAAAATAATCATACAGAAGCAGGGACCCGATTGTTTAAATTTTTAACTTTTTCAATCTTCAAAGTATTTTAATTGCAGAATATTTCGATTCCGAAACACGCCCATGTAGCTTTATTTGCAAAAAATGGCAAAACCTTTAAATTTCTTTTGAGGTTTTGAGAAATACGGGGTTCGGCAATAGTGCGTCGGATTTTTTCCAAATAATTTCTGAACCAACGTCAATATTTTGATGAAAATATTGGTGTCTGGGAGTTTTTTGATATGAGAAATTTGATTTTTATGTTAATATGACTCCTATTTGTAGAGGGCGCCACCTACATGTGTTTTAACTGTTTCGTTCGTAATAACTTTTCGTCCGTACCTGTATAAATCTACTAAGTAAAAAAATATACATTTCAGTAACTTTTTACGTAGAAAATGTCTCTTGGTAGAAATCGATACGAGAAACCGTTCTCAAGATATTTAGAATGAAATTAGTCAATACATGTCATTATTGACAAAAAATAAACACGTTGAGTAGATAGTTATTTGACTGAAATAATAAATTTGGGGAATTTTTATTTTTTTTTAAATAATTATAAATTTTTCTGGAAAAAAATGACCATAAAACAGTTTCTGTTGAACTTTTGGCTCAAAAACTTTTCAAATTTATGATTTCGGTTTAATTACTATTTAGTCAACATGTTTAATTTATGTCAATGAAGATAGGTATTGATAATTTCGATTCCAAATATCTCGAGAATCATTACTCGTAGCGATTTTTACCAAGAGACCTTTTTTACGTAAAAAACGTTGCAAATATATATTTTTTTTTACTCAGTGGTTTTATACAGGTATGAAGGAAAACTTATTAATGTTCAAACCAATTAAAAAACATGTAGGTGGCGCCCTCTACAAGTAGGAGCCATATTGACATCAAAATCAAATTGCTCATGTCATAAACCTGCCAGACACCAATTTTCATCCATATATTAACGTTACTTCAGAAATTATTTGGAAAAAATCGAAATAAAAATGAAACTTCTACACCCTTAGGCCTTCAACTAGTATAAAATAAATTTTCTCCGTTTTTTTCGAGGGGTGTCTCACTACTGGAATTACATGTACATTTTCTTGGCAGTCGCTGGAAGTCATTGGCAGTCTTTCGGCAGTCACCTATAATAATTACATGGCAGTCATAGCCAGTCTTCTTGGCTGTGATTGGCAGTCGCTTGGTAGAAAGATGATATTTTGGCAGTACATGTACATTTTTAACCCAAGTGAGACACCCCTCGGTTTTTTTTAATGGAACACCTTGTATATTATTTCTTCAATACATGGAGAATTAAAAAATAAACATTTTTTGTACTTAGAGTATATAAAATTTTTTAACGTTTTTGCAGATATTCATGGTTTTATATTTTATATGGAATTTTCCACAGTAAATTTTTATCAAAGCCACCCAATGATTTTTCTCTCGTATTTTACCATTGAAAGAGCCATATGAATTAAAACCTAGTAATTTCCTGAAATAGATCCTATAGTACATACTTTAGGTTTGCACTTATACAAAATTCCCAAGGTTTTTATTCTAGAAGCTACAGATGCCCGGCGACGCACTATTGCCGGACCCTGTATACGGTTTATTGTGTTACATTTTTGACGATGTAGATTGGAATAGTGTCACCTCCTACATAATCCATATTCTGAATATTTGTATGTTAATAATATTGGTTTATAAATTCACAATAATTTTAATTTTCTACCCCACAGGGTAAGCAAATTACATATATTTTCTAAGATGGAAAATACTTGTACTTCACTAAATAAATATGCCGCAAGAAATGTTCCGGAGAATCCCGAAAGGGAAGACTCTGGAGCAGAACCAGACACCGACGCTGGGCCAAGTACAACGAGGGCAGATTCGTCTGCGGATCGTGAGAAACAGCCTGCCGAGGTGTCAAATATAACCACAGGACTTGGAAACATAGGCCTGCGGAACAAGAGAATTTCAGGAGCACAGAAAAAGAGGATCCTGAAAGCTAAAAAAATAGCAGAGGGAA